GCTCTAGTAAGATCTGCTATAAAATCCTCCCCCAGGAGAGTGTCCAATCCCTGCAAGGATTTCAGCCGCCCAGTTTTGTACAGGGACATAAGCTATGTGTCTCTTTGTAAGCCAGCCAAAGAGACGTTGATTCATTTTATCAAACGCATCCCATTCCTTATCAATTACTGACAATGACAGCTCACTGATCATCATAGTATTAAAAGAGACATGGACCTAAAAAATATTGTCATGCATACATTCAGCATGGCTTCTGTCTGCTGAGTCACATTCTGGAAAGTAAACGTACCGTTTACTTCCAGATATTACCCAGACTGTTATTTAATTGCCCTGCATTTGAAAGTAACTAGACTGAGCCACTGTAGGCCAAGAGCAATGCCTGGTAAGATGGAAGGAGGATAACTCTGTCTGTCTGTCTCTCCCCACCTCCTCCATCTCTACCTTCCTTCCTCCCTTTTCCCTCACACAACACACATGAATGCTCCATTCCCTTCTCTACTTCATTTTTCTCCACAGCTCTTACCTACTATATTTTATCTCTGTATACATGGGGATTTGTGTGTTTAGAAATAAACTTATTTATGTTTTATTGTTACATGTCACCACTAGAATACGGCCTTCTTGAAAGAAGACACTTTGTCTCTTTCTACACATTATAGCACTCCAGCATCCAAAATACAATCATTTTTATTAAATTAATAAAACTATGTTCAAGCTTTACAAACAACATTCCCCTAGTACTGATTCCCAAATAAGAGATCCAAAATAATTCCCCTAATTTGTCCATTTTAAGATTTATTAACTTGTTGGGGAGATAGCTCAGTAGCAGAATGCTTGTCTAGCATGTGTGAGGTTGTGGGTTCCATCCCTCAGCATCACAAAAAATAAATAAATACAAGATGTATTAACTTAAAAGTCTTGCATACTTAATTCAGACAGTGCATATTTAATCCATAAAAAGTGTGTATACACCTTTGTTGACACTTTATTGCATTCACATAAATTATGGGTGGAAATAATAAGATATATCCAGAGACAAAAATCTTAAATAGGAAATGTTCCCCACATATATCCTGCTTGAGATAAAATTTGATAACCTAATTCAAAGCCTCCAGAATGGAAGTCTATTTTGGTTGTTTTTGTTTTTGAGACAGGATCTTGCTATACAGCCCAGGCTAGCCTAACTCACTATCACCCTGCTTCAGCCTCCTAAATGTTAGGATTACAGGCTTGCACCACCATATCTGGCTGAAAATCTGTTTTTAAAGCATTAATTAAAACTCTATCCTACATCTGATAAATCCCTTACCAACTTCCAGACTTATCCTGTCTCACCAACTGAAGTCTGAGTAAGAACTAAATTAATAACATGAGAACTTCCACCTGACCGCTCACAACTGCTACAGAGTATATCGTCACTGCTTTTACTGTTCAGGTAAGTTGTGAACCAGAAGTTCTAGACCTATAAACTTCCTGGGAAAATCTCAAGAAACTTAAAATAACAGCGATGCTACACTTGACAAGCACATCAGAATCCACCCCGTCGTACGATGGGCAAGAGGGGAGGAAGAACTTCTCGTTAGTTAACTTTGCTAGGTGCCATTCTTCAACTCAATTCCACTTAATTGAACAGTGCGATGCAGGCTGTTCGTCTGAAGAGTCTGTTTGGTAGTCTTCGTGAGAATCAGTAGGTAACCACAGGTGCACACACATCAGCAGGAAGAAGATAAACCCATCCTACCTCAATTCACAGCACCATCATTGCAGACCACTTTCCACAGCTAAAGTCAGTGGAGTGAGAGAAAGCCAAGCAGCCATTCCTTTGAGGAACGGAGCATCCATGATCAACATATTTCTAGATTGCACACAAGTGTCACTACTGGCCCCTCCTTAGCCATTTCCACTACTTCTCATATCGAAGCTGATCAGAGTTGGGTTGTTAAACTTTATTAATAGCAAGGTCCAATTCAATGGGTGTAGGCAGGTCAAAATTTCTGCAGCGATGAGGTAAAAGAAAACTTCACCTATTTTCCTTGGAACTTCTCCAGCTTTCAAATGAATGTTAAAAAAAATCAAATTAGTTTTATTTCTTTTTGTAATGAATCACCATATTTCAGGTCATCATTATGCATTTCACCCCCCAAACAGACAGTTGTCAATTAAAGGAGTGCAAGCTGAGCTGTCCCCAGTTCCCTAGGGTACAGACAAGGGCTTTCTAAGTCTGTTAATGATATCAACAAGATTAGATGTAATAAGATGCCTCATAAACTTAAAAACTGAAGAATTATTTTATCGTTTTGTGCAAATAATTGCTGAATCCCACTACATAATGAAGACAAATAAAACACTTCCTTTTTAAGTAACAACCCTGAGGCTCCCTGCTGCCTGATTCTGACTCATTTTCTCCCTTAAGTCATGATCTGACATCCATTTTAATCTAATTTCACCATGTGAACATGCTATAAAAAGGGACACAGACAGATGTATTCGTACTGCCACCACTACCTTGAAAGGCTCACGATATGTTCTGCGGGATACATGAAAACTGAAAGAATTCCTCAATATTAAATCAAGACTGGGATTTGGGGTGGAGGGACGGCAGGATATATAATAGGAGAAAAGCTCAAAACAATCTGGAAACATCTTTGAACTCCCCCGGAGTTCTCTGCAGTCACAACCAGAGTTTTCTTATATTCAGTTTGGCCTCTCTTCCTAGAGAGTCAGGTCTAGGCTCTACTGTGTCTTCATCCATTTGCCAGGGTCCTCAAACTCTTCCATAGTCTCTGGCCAAATGATGCCTATTCAGTGCAAATAATGATGGCCATAACAGCCAAAATAAAATGTGTTGATGTCTTCATATATGTCAAGTATTTTACACATGTTTTCTCATCCAGTCTGAGCAAAAGCCTGTGAACTAGGAGATAATATTTAAGCTGCATTTTACAGAGAGGAAAAGCAAGGTTTAAGGAAATTAAGTCCCATGTGAGTCACACAGCTAATCTAACCCTAGGGGCCTTCCCCTAACCACAGATCTCTATAGCTTCGGTGAAAAGGGCCAGAAGAGCTCCAGCAATGACTTGGTCTAGTCTTCCTTTAAACAAATCAAGGACTGCAGACCCGAAAAATAACACTGTGACAGCCTCTAATAACCAATTCCTCCATGTGACTGCAGCATGACACTTAACAGGTCTACACTTGTTCTCCCTTGGTTTCCATGTTTAGCTTACCTGGCTCTTGGCTTAACCCTCCTTCTGTCTCTCTCGTTGACCCTTCCTCCTCTGTCCAAATCCTCAGTAAGTTCTGTCCTCAGCCTCCTGTCCTGCTCGTCTATTCCAGGGCTGCCCAGCCTTTTGAAAGCAATGCCAGGTTGCTGCACACACGCCCCTCGTGTGGCTCCTCTCTGCATGAGTGAACACACGATGGATGCCTCCAACTCCTCTCTACACTTGCGATTCATATTCAAGCCATGTTTTTTCTTAGTCCAAGACTCAGATATCCTGGTTTCCTTCTTAACACCCTGTGGACCCTCTGTACTCACCTGTGCCCAAAGCATACACCACCTCCTGCCATCCTCAGCGCCACCTCTCTCACTGAGCCAAGCATCAGACCTTCCTAGACCTGACACTTTCACCCACAGTACACAGCTAGTGCATGTCCACACCCTTCAAGTTCACGTGACATTTCTGGGGCTCAGGTGGCCTCACATCCCATTGGCACTTTCTGGGTTAAGGACCTTACCTTTTGTTAGGTGAACTACTGCAAAGCCCTCTCCTAACAGGTTTTTCTGGCTCAGATTCTCCCAGCTCTAATCTAAGCCCCTCTTACCTATCACAACCATGACCATTCCACAGCCAGCCCTACACCCCTCCATCCAGCTCAGAGGAATAGCCAACATGTGGGAATGGCACTGACCAAGGTTGTTGACAGCACACTCTCAGCTCTAGTTTCCTCCCTTCCCTTGCATCCATCAGGAAAAAGAGCCTTTCCCAGAACAAACTGCCATCCTATATGCTGGCTCTTGTGTTTAGCATCAGTTCCTCAAACCAGCTGCCTCTTGATATCCCCCTGTCGTTTTACAAACCCTCTTATCCCCTTCAACATCTTCTTCCTAACTCACTTAAAGGCAGCACTTTTAGCTTAGGGGATTTTTCTAGAATCTAATTGCTCTCTCCATCAAGCCAGGTCTGCCTGGTGAGAGAGTTAAGACCCAAGACCAGCTCTCAGAGTAACTCTTCCTAAGCTATTTAAATGAGTATTAATTTCCAAAATGCCCCTTACATCTTTTTACTAAATTATAGTACTAAATACTTATTAAACAAGCTACACTCCAGTGCCCATGGCCTCTATAGGATTTGAAGACATAACAAGCCATCCAGACAAGGTCTTCTCTCATTGTGATGTCTTCTTTATGTATTCAATTTACTTATTCTTTGATTAATTCATGGGACAAAGCAGCAGCAATCGAATCACCCAAAATATTTTTACAGTTTCATAAAACTTGCACACTGTTCCAGGAATGCAGACTATTTTTATCTTCTCCCAGTGCCAAATAATAGGAAGAGAAGAGAGATTCCATCACATAAAATTTGGAAGAAAATGATCCATCAGGAGGAAACTGAAAAGGGTCCTGAAACTTTGCACAGTCTGAGAACTGTTTCTGAGACTGGATTTGAGATGAAACCTTCTAGAAAGAGAATTAATCAGAACTAATGAACATTTAATGACATTTTAAGTAGTTTAATTTCAGTGTTCACGCCGCCCACTCATTTTATTTTGTTCATTGCTTCTTAATGTTTTAATTATACTAAAACGTCCAGCTCTTTTTCTACTGAAAGCTAAGAAAAACCTTCTAAGGAGGACAATAACTTTAGTGGATAGATGAATGTCTGTGGACAAATAACCTGAGTAGACATGTTCTTAGTTTTAAAAATTCTATTGAGGCAAAGAAAAAAAGTCAGTTACATCAAAGCCAGCACAAGGTACTGGGTTCAACTACCAACCTCCGCTGCTCTTCACCATGTTCTCCTGAAGGGACAGTGAGACATTCATCCATGTGTCCATGCAGCAACCTGAGGACGTCACCACCAATCAGATACCCTGCAAGGATGAAAAGGCATTTGCATTTGGATTGTCACGGGTAATGCTGACAGCTGGACGGATCATCTGGACCAATCTTCTGCTTTCATCAACAGAAAATCACAAGACTTAAGTACCTGGCCAACATCACAGAGGTGGGCGGTGTTCTCTGACCCCTCTGAGCCCCCCATGGCTAATGATATTCCCAATGGAATACATGACCTCAGCCTCACAAAACCCACCATTAAACATACAAATGTGGATGGATCCGATTTGAACTATGGGAGTGAGAACAACCAGCTGGTGCCCTCGGAAACCCTACTGTAAGAACATCACTGTGATCTGGCTACAAGGCATAAGCATGGATAATGCAAAATCTTGACGTTAGTCTAACCAAGCAAGACCCCAAGGCCAAGAAATTAAGGAAAGGGCCAGAAGAAAGCTGGCATATGAAATTACACAAATCAGCATTAATAATAAGGAAAGATAACCTCAATATGAGCTTCACTTTTAAACAGCAATTTAGACAAGAGTCTTAAATGCCATGATAGAATATTTGGACACAAAAGAGCACTAATTAACAAGCAGCTCATTATCACAATTCCACAGACCATCATCAAGTTTGCATCAAGACCAAGCCTTCTAATTAAAGTGGAGTTTTTACCTTGGGCTGCTTCACTTCCTGAGCTGATGGGGGCCACGCTCCACAGAGTCTGCTGGAAAGCAGCGTCCACGTGCAAGCTGTCAGTGCCGTAGGATAAGTGCTGTAGCAAGAGGTGAGAGGAGGAGACATCGCTCATAAAGCCTGGCCACTTGAACTTAGCATCACATACTTGGAAGTGTCCATGGCGAACATTTAGAGTAGGAAAAAGAATAATCAAAACTCCTTTTTAACCTTTGATACTTTCTGGGTCCATCCTTAAGCCAGTAATCAGAAAATATACAAATGAATAACAAATGCTCTAAAGTTTATTTACAAAAAGTGACTATTTTTGTTTTAAGGCTTATTGATGGGCAAAATGGTATAGGCACTAAAATTATAACTGAGTTTTCTACATATCACACCATGATAGTCTATTGGCAACCAAGTAGGTGAAATCTGCTGAACCAATGTCTTCATTTTATGGAGTTCTTTGGGAACTGTTATCTGCAATTTGGCACAATCGCCAGTAGATGGCGATGTTTCCTAATACCTATCTAAAATTTGCATCCATTTCCTCCAAATCTCAGCTATTGCAAATTTCAGATTGTCCTTCTAAAAAATAGAAATCCGTTCAAATAATGTAACATTTAACACCTTTGAGAGCCATAGATATGATTTATCAAATGTTAGTTAAGAAAAAAACAAAATTATGAGTACAGCCAAATGCCTTGCTTGTTTTACTGATCACTACTTGCCTGACTTTCGATTTTCAAAAATACACCACCTGCCTTCTTGGAGTCTTCTCTGTAGTCATCACCAATATCCCCTCAGTGCTTCTGCAATACCTCCCCAACAGTGACGACAACCTGAGCTTCTAATGATTTTAATCAAACCAGAATGTCCCAGGAACCTGACCATCCTAGGAAGATGAAGGTCAGCCGCAGCCAGAAGGTGCCACCTGAGGTCTGCCAACACCCGAGGGACTTCTTTACCTAAGAGACTATCCACAAGTCCTCAATAGCAACAGTTCTTTCTCCCAAAAAGAAAACCAAAGACACCTGACATTGTGACCTACACATAATTGTCTCATCAGAAATTTTTCCAATCGATAAAAGGTTTACCAGGTGGCTCATGAGATCCAGCAGTCACATACAACCTCTTCCTCACCTCAGAATCTCGTATGCATAATTCCAGCGGAGGGTCCTTTATGGATTCAATTCCCTTTCTGACACGTTAAAATTCTTTCACATAAACCATATCTTACCTGCTTCCACAAACAAACAAAATACGTTTTCCTTTACAGGAATTAACACACAAGATAATTATTTGGTTTACTTTTCTCTCTTCTTCATGTAAGCTATCTGACTATGTGACCCAGGTTCACAACTGTACCCACGGCATCCACACTATCATTTAATAAACAAGTTGATAGAGAAGCCAACCAAATATTTGAAATCAAAACTGCACAGTTTTTAAAAAATGTATTGTTATTCCCGAAATAACCCTATTTCAATGGCTCAGTGAAAAAAATAACACACACCTCATATATGCGTACATATATATACAGACATATATAATATATGTGTGTATTCATGAATATAAGACATACATCTACATATACATATGAGATGTGGATTCTTATCAAACCATCTGAAAATAATTCAAAACACTCATGTTTGTATTTTACTTTGGTTTTGAAACCAGGTAAAATCGCATGCAATGCTCTGATGAATGACTAATCATTTGTTAATTCATCAAGATTCATTTAATGCACGATGCATAAAACATTACACTCAGTAGTAATAGATTGCACTCCAGATACACACTGAGGGTGCCTGTCATCTTGTAAGGAAGGTAAATTACACACACAATGTGCTGTGTGTTAGTATATAAAAAATGTTGCATGAACTGCAACCAAATGCTGCAGGAATTATGAAAAGACAGCACTTCCACCAACACAGCTGGAACAGAGTCCATGGTCCTGGACCTTCAGGGAGGCATGATGGACACTCCACCAGAGAGGTGTGGTTTCTTATGGCCAGGGCATGAGGGGGCAGTGGGACCACTTGGCCTGGGCCTCCCATTTGGGACACACTGTCTCCAAATAAGTTTATGCATATGTTGGATTTGGATATGTACAAAAATAATGTTAATGTATTAAATGAAAGTATTTCAAACATACTAAAATTTTTACAGGCCACTTAGGGGATTTTCACTTGTAATATATCAGAGACCATGTCACTGGTGGTAGACTGAACCTCCCTTCAGCCTGAGACACTGATAAGCAGAATGTATGCAGAGGGAAGACCAAAACCAAACAGAGCAGAAACAAGTCCAGCAGAGTCTCCTCAATGGGGCCTCTGGCATCAACTTAGAGGTGGAGTGAACCATAGACCTGCAGGTGAAGGCTGGCACCAGACCAACGACCTTACGTTTAGGGCAGTGAGGAACTACTGCAGTGAAACGAAAAACAAGGGGGGTTGAAATGCAGTTTTCAAATCATGCCTAAGCCTAAAGATGAGTCACACATTGGACAGAACAATGAAAACACGGACATTTCAGTCTTGCAGAGAAAATCCTAAGTATGTCCTTAAGGTGATATGACAGCCACAGAAAGTTATATAAAGTCCTCTCTTCAAAAGAAAATATTCTCTGGGCATAACAACTCAAGGTGCATCTAATTAATTTTGGTGCTTAAATGGCAAATAGAAATCTGAGTGAGAGAGGGTTCAAGTTAGGCCTGAGGTATTAAATATTCACGGTGCGGCAACAGTTCAATCACTGAAGCCAAGATGAGTGTCCTTAAAGCAATGATAGAGGATGGCAGAGGTTGGAAGCAAAATCAGCCTTAGGCTGAAAAATATAATCACTAGAATTTTCACAATAATGTAGCTGCATCCATCCATACTTTCCAGGGCTCTGGGCACCAATCTGCAACCCGGCTTCACCTTTGACCTTATGCTAGTGACTTTCTGATCCTATCCCCCAACCCCCCCAAAAAAAAGTAGACTCAAATTTAGGAGGAGTAGGGTGGGGGGGCAATCAAGAGGGCTGGTACAAAACTACTATTTTTTAGGTAATAATAAATTACATGTATGGTTGAAGCACAAAATCTAGAAATAGACTTGACATTCTAAATCCCCCTCCCAGGAGTTCTTAGTCTGAAGCCCACAGAATTATACTTCAGTATGTTTGGGTTCCTTTGCAACCCTGTGTGTTTATTTTATGCATTTTAAAACATTATTATAAGAAGTCAAAAAGCCTTATGATATCACCAGAGGGTTCTATACCCTAATATTTTTAAGGATCTCTGAATTCAACGCTTATCTGAGCAATTGTTCATTTGCTCATTTATCTCTTATTAAAAAGCCAGGCACTTGGGCCCTGGTGATACAGCATTCAGAATAAATCATCATTCAGGAAACACAAGTGAATAAGTCATATTACCCCTCCAGATCCAGCATTTTCTTCTGAAAAAAATAAACATAAATGAGGAGCACAGACACAGATGCACTTTCCAAATGTAATATTCTATGGCATCATCACCTGAGCCACACGGAGAGAAAAAGGGATCCAGGTAAATTAACCAGAATTGAATAGGAGGGGCTAGAGGTGCAGCTCGGTGGTAGAGCACATTCTTAAAAACATGCACAAGGTTCTGGCTCAATCCCTGGAACCCTCTCCCCCATCAAAATGGTTGATGTTAATAAATCACTTGAAAATATTTATGATCACTGTCTTTCATCATATTTATGCAACTTGAGGCAATTCAGCATTTTTATGCAATCAAAATGCCTTTGCATTTCTCATCAAATACCCAGTACAGGAGGAAAAGACGTACAGTACATTTTCATGGGCCCTAAAATAGCTTTCTTTTAAGGATTTTTTCATCACTCTTTAGAATGAAGGGGTCTGCCTGTCCTCATTGATTTTCAGTCAGTTGTTTGGCAGTGTTTTTATGGCTCATAAAAACTTTGTCTATCAATGACCTGATCAATAGTAAATCACCATTTCCAATGAAAATATAGATGGTAACTTTTATGCATACTGGGGATGTTTAACACATGTAAAAGGTGTCTTATATGACTTATTTTTTTCAATTTTAAATGGATTCAAAGTAAGTAATACCAACTTGCTCTGCTTTCTCTACATTAAACTATATGCTTCTCTTATACTTAAGCTGCTTAGCTAAAGCCTTCTTTAAAACACAAAATTTCCAATATGGGCAAAGAACACTTTCCTTCTGCATACTTCTGGAAAGAGGATTAAAATATAGTTTCATAAAACAGCAAGAAAGAGAAAAGACAGCATTTGGGTGGGCAGTTTCCAAGCATTTTTAGAAAGAAGACCCTTCATTCTTTGGAAGTGAGATCTCATTGTCCATTTGCCAAGCAGACAGGGCCTGGGAGCCCTAGCCACAGCATCCTCTTCTGTAAATGAGGTACCTCCACAGAGAAAGGGTAGAACTCAGTCCTTCACATTGGTTTTACTCAAATTAGCATCTTAACATTTGTACTTTGCATTAATGTTCCAACTGCACAGGTAGAAACTTTAACCTTCATTCAGCCACCACTGATGGTGAAGGAAAAGACAGCTCATTAATCAAGAGACTGATGAGCTGAATGACTGAAAAGCTGTAAGTCAGAGATTGAGAATGTTTATTTTTTGTAGTTAGTTTTAGGCAATTTTTCTTGAGACAAAATTTCTCAATTATTTTTAACCACGTCAACATCTCAGAATATGACTCTTGGCTTTTGCATGATACATCTTTACTTAAGATTTTCTGTAATATTACCTCTCTTCCCCAAATGTCTCTTCTTTGGCTTAAATATATGAAATTTCCTTAGCCACTCTAAATAGGCACAAATCTTCCAGGTAAATACTGAGAGTAATCTACCATGCAAGAGCTAAGAGCTTGTTTGGGTTTATTCATTTAATCCTAGTGACACCCCTATAAATTCAAGTCTTTACTAGTCCATACTGCAGAGGAAGAAACTGAGAGTTCATATTTTCCAGGCTCATATTTGCCAGACTCTGTATGAAGAAATACAACCCATCTTTGGTTATTCAAGGTTCAGCTCTGACTATTTCAAAGCCCTTTCATTACCTCACTTCTTGCCTTTCATTTTTTCTAGATCCTTTCATTAAGTGTATAAGTCCTTGAACCCACCACCATAGTACTCTACCTGGTACTAGCCAAGCACAGTGGAAATGTAAGTTAATAGTGAACCATCCTTAGACGCATGGACACTTCCACTGGCACCCCTAACCTGTACGGTAACACTTGGTTCTTACCTTATAACACCCTCCCACATTCATTTAATTTGTGTTACAATTTGGATCTTAAATGTCCCCACAGGTTTGTGTATTGAATGCTCGGTCCCCAGCTGATGAAGCTGTTGGGAGGTGACAGAACCTTCAGGTGGTGGGGCCTAGTGGAAGGAAGTTAGGTCACTGAGGGTGTGCCTGTAAAGGGGATATTAAAATCTCAGGCCTTCTCTCTCTCTGTCTCTCTGTCTTTGTCTGTCTGTCTGTCTCTCTCGCCCCTCCTTCTCCTCTTCCAGGTTGTCATGACATGAGCAGTTTTGCTCTGCTATGTGCGTGCTTCTCACCATAATGTTCCCCCTTGCCCTAGGCTCAAAATTATGAAGCCATGCAACCATGGACTGAAACCATGAGCCAAAATCAATCTTCCTTCTAAGTTGTTTATCTCATGTGTTTTGTTACTAGCACAGTTTGCTCTATTAACTCTTTGAGGACAGAAACCATGTGTGATGATGCATCTGTGGTTTTTCCTGGCTCTTCTATTATATGCTAGGTCCCTGTAGAAATGATAACAAAACCATCGACTTCTTTACCAAATGCAAGTGAAGTTTCAACAGCCTGGTCTTTTGTAGCTCTATTTAAAAGGTTACCAGAAAAGAGAACTTAAGAAATTGGCTAAAATACAGATTAGAAATGATTTGTGATTTTTAATTAATCGTGAGACTCATGTCAAAAGTTAATAGGAGGTGAAGGCCACACACCATATTAATTCCACTATTATTTCCATAGTGCTTTGTAACTCAAAGCACAGTCACCTCATTGTGTCATGGCTTCCTCACAATAACATCGGGACTAGGTATTATTTTAGCTTCAACCACTTTATCAATGGGGAAGCTAGAATTCAGGGAGTTATATGACTTGCTCAGGTTGTGAACTGTCAAATCGGAATCAGAAGTCCTGGCCTCTGTGAGGTTTTGAATATTCTCCTCCTTTGGTGCCTGATGATACCATGGTGTCAAATAAACTGCTATCTAGAAAAAAGAACATGTGCACGACAGTAAAAAAAATACAGTCATGTCAAAACCAAACTGTGGAATTTGTACATTGGAAAGTGTACATGAATTGTTTCTACTGCAGTTGGTTTCCAAGTACAACTATAAGTCAGAATGTGTGTCTCCTGATCACAACACCTCACCCTCTTGACATAGTGCAGACACAGAGGAGGGGCTTAGCCAACACTTACTCTACAAGCTGCACTCGTGTACTGTTCTAGAATCTGTATGACAACTGTTTCCACCTACACTGGCCAGGAGATGGGAGTGAAGAAATGCTACAAGCCATAGTTAGTGTATGCTACAAACCTCCATTTAGTGTAATATTTCCTGTCAGTAACACAAGCCACTGCTTCCCCATTCCTGTCTTCATCATTACCTCTGCCCAGAGGGCAAAAAAACATTTGAAGACTGGAACTAAAAGTGTTGGTAAACTGACACTAACTTACAACATCCCCCACCCACCCTATTTCTACGTTTACAGAACACAGAACAGGTACCACAGACTCACCCTATCCTAATCAGATACACCAAGAGCCTTCTGCTTTCTGGCTCTCCTTCCTGCTCTTTCTACAGCCTACTGTGTGCTCCACATGACGCACTCTAGTTCTGACTTCTCTTTAAATCGCTGTCCACTTCAGCATCTGGGATATTTTATGTGGATATTCATGCAAAGCTTACAATGCACCTTTAGTTACTTTCTCAACATTAAAATAAAAAGACTATTTTGTACTGGTATCCTTCATACTTCGTGGATTTCAATATTCTATGTACTTCTGTATAGGATTATTCTTTAACAAAACTATAACTTATTAAACATGTAAAATACATATTGGCCTCACCACAAAAATAAAAATACATTTAATTATTAAACATAACTTCTTTCTTCCTTCTCCCATTTCTAGCCTCTCCCCTTTCACACGGTGCAAAGTCAATAAAAGACAAACTTTCAAATTTTGTCTATTCCTCCTTTCCAGGGCAAATGTTTTTTACATAATAAATTGGTTTCATACATATCAAAATATATGATTACCATCTCATTAATATAGCCTTTACAATAGACACAAAATAAAGACAATGGAATTTAGAATTCCTAATTAGACTGCATTTACATTCTATTAATGAAAAAATCTAGGCTAGAGATGTTGACTCACACCTGTAATCCTAGCTACATGCGAGGCAGAAAGTGGGAGGACCATGGCTAAAGACCATCCTGGGCAAAAAGTTAGTGAAACCCCATCTCAACCAACAAAAGCTGGGTTTTTTTATATGGCTATTCATGCAAGCTTACAATGCACCTTTTATGTTTAATTACTTTCTCAACGTTAAAATGAAAAGAATATTTTGTACTGGCGTACAACATATTGGACACATTTGGCATCCTAGCTATGCAGAAAGCATAAATAGGAGGACTGCGATCCAGGCTGGCCTGGGCATGAATGCAAATCCTACTTGAAAATAACTAAAGCCCACCCCCTGACAAAGAAAAGGGCAAGGAGCATGGCTCTAGTGGTAGAGCACCTGCCTGACAAGCGCAAGGTCCTGAGTTCAAACCTCAATACCAAAAAGTAGGTGCTAGCTATCTCATGAACACATGAACATAAGTCAAGGTCAGTAGGGAAGCTGCCTAGACAGACCTAGAATCCCACTCTTGCTCCTGCCGCATTACTCTCTCACTTATGACTCATGAAATAGAGTTACTTACGAGCAGTTTTCCTAGCTTTGCTTGTTTAGACGCGAATCCTCTATCATTTGCAGAATAAACCTTTAAAGGATTGTTTTATTGACCTGGAATAGCAACAAGTCCACGGTCTCATTCTGCACACTTACCAAGTACCTTTCAGAGGACACGCTAACTAGGATGAGGTCATCTCCCACTCTGACTTTCTCTCCTTCCGATCGCTGCTTAGAGGCCGGATGTATGGTCCACCAGCAAGCCTCACCTGCAGAGTGATGGAGGAGAGAAACAGAGAGAAGTATCTTTTAGCTTAAGATCCATCTTCTTCACCAGTGACTCCATTCTCACGACTTTCAGAAATATGAAATTCCATGCAAATTAATAACTTAGACTAGGAAAATCAAAAGAACTCAGTCAGATTAGTTTAGGTTAAGACATACTGAAATGCAAAGTTTCTTCCCCTAAATACTGGGTGTGACATCAGGTTTCTTTCCTCCCCACTGAGAACTGTTTAAAAAGACATCTTGTGTACTGACATAAGACCAAAACCACCAATATCCCAATCTGGTTTCATTCCCTGTGTAAACACGTGCCATTTTCCCGCTCACATTGCTCTCTGTGAAAACATCTAGCTTTTCATCACTTGATCTTCAGAAGGACTTGGGAACGAATTCAAAGAAGGGTACAAAGTGGTGTTGCCTAAAATCTTGCCATCCTATTACCTCTTTTTGACTTGTTTCACTTTGTTATTTAAACTGGTACTTTCTATTAATCTAAGAGTAAAACATAAAAGAATCTCACTACAGAATGATACATTATAAAACATCTATGAATCATTAAATAAAATATTTCTCCTAGAATAAGTCAAGCATAGGAATGAACTCCAAGTTCCTTCATCAGTGCTCAATCCATTACCCAAGATGCAAACACAAGCAAACCAACTCTTCAATCTGCTCACAATTCCTTCGAGAACCCAAATTTACGTCTGTCTGGCAATGGCAGTAGTGTCCAGTGCTGTGAGGTAGACATTACCACCCTGTCGCCCTACCCGCCATTATTCTTTTTCCATAGCACAATGTGTTGCTTGACGAACCCAATACCAGAACAGAGGTTCCACAGCAGCATGTTCTGCTCACTGGGATCCTCAGCTCTTCCTAGCCTACTGTAACCACTCAGTAAAAATGACTTCGTCGTGAGTGAGTAAATAAATGACCCAGTAACACTGCTTAAGCATTCTTAGAGTCACTATGTCCTTGGTCCCTTTTCTTCCACAAGCCAGGCTTTCCTTCCATGTCACTTGATGGAATGCCTCATCTTCATTTTTAGAGTTGTAGGTAGTTTTTCCTGCATTCAACTAAACATTTGTGATACACCCAGTGCCTGCCAAACACTGCCTTAGTAGTGTGGGATCCATCAAGAAACAAAACCAAAAACATCATCTGCCTTGTGACTTTAATTCCGATGAATGCAAGCTGACAACAAAAAATAAATATCATAAATAATTCAGAAGAAGTCGAGTACTTTGCAGAAAGCATCAGACTAGCAGCAGGGGCTGGGGACGTGGGAAGAGGGACTGACGTGTGGCGATGTCCTGGCTAACACATAAGCATCTCAGTGTGGAACACCAGTCCAGAGCATGTCTGACTTGTACTTCCATTGAGTGTAAACTTAAGACTTTCTGTTTCACTTAACTGCATGCTAAAATACATTAAGTAAATTACATTAAGTAAAATGAGAAAATTTAAAAGCTAGTAAAAATGCAGGATGACCGAGCCTGTGGAAAATGAAATAAAAATAATACATTTATTTTTCTGATGCCTAGGAACCTCGTCACTTACATGAAGCCGTCTGTTTGTCCATTAGAAAGTTAACTGGGTTCATAAATATAGTTTTATTTTTATCCATGTGTTGTTGTGAAAAATTAGAAAATACGGGAAAGTATCTTAATTTATTTGTAAAAATTATAAATACTAATGGGGTAACTCGTTACTTGTAAATGTATACAATGTATAATGTTTAAATTGGGATAAAGACATCTGTCTCCTCAAACATTTATCATTTATCATTTTCATGGGAAAAACTCTTTTCTTCTAACTTGCTGAAGTTAGAAGTACATAACTATTATCCCTAGAGATGAAGGACGGCCTGGTTCCACTCTCTGCAAGGAACAACTTCATAAAAGTTGACTACATCCTTCCATTCTTTTCTCTATTTGGTCTTTAATTCATTTTTAATTCCCCAAATCACACAAGCTCATTATCAGAGATAAAATAGTTAAATTGTACTTCAGCGATATCTAAAGCGAATGTAAATTCTTTGAAGAACTAAGAATGGGAACACAAATAAAACTTGTGTGCTTTTATTTTGATTTTCCAAAAACATGTGTTATTATATTTATTTTCCAAAATATGGAAATGCATGTCTATTTAGACAGAGCTGCAGCACAGTGGCCTCTGTGTAAAGGAATGAGAGAAACGTTCACTTCTACCTTTTTTTGGAATGTTGGCATTCAGTATGTTACATTTTTATACATAAAAATATTTTTAAAAGCCAGGTGCTGGTGGCTCATGCCTGTAATCCTAGCTACTCAGGAGGCGGAGATCAGGAGGATTGAGGTTCAAAGCCAGACTGGGCAAACAGTTCATAAGACTCTATCTTGAAAAAAAAAAAATCACAAAAAAGGGCTGGTGGAGAGGCTCAAGATGTAGGCCCTGAGTTCAAACCCCAGAACCCCAAAAAAAAAGAAAGAAAGAAAGAAAGAAAACTAAGGATGAAAGATAAGAGAGATAAGCAGTAATACTTCATATCACTGCATATTAACCTGGTCTCATCCAGTAAATCATATAGCAAACACTGGTTTTCTACTCTAAACCTTTGAGAAGAAAAGGTTTGAAGTCTAGTTTGAATATCCAACTAATTACCTGGGAATAACCAATGGGAAAAATATATACTTCCTCCTAAAAAATGTCAAATAGAAAATAATTTTTTCACTTGCCTAGCATGTACAAGGTTCTGGGTTTAATCCCCAGCACTGCAGAAAAAAAATCATTTTTCCTGACTCTATTCCTAAGAACACTCAACTCAGTGCTTCCTCACTCCTGCCTCGGGCCTTACAATAAAGTCCCAACCGGGCTTTCTCCGAGCACAGTTTCCATCATGGCACAAAGCGCTCACCTGTGGTGTCTTCTTGCAAGCCAACATCAAAAGCCAGTTTGTCAGTTGAAGACCGGGAGGTGGAGAGGCAGCACAGATACTAAAAATACAGAATCAGTAGTTGTCACTAAGTTTCTAAGTCATATCAGAGTCCTATGCTGACAAGTAGTTTGATGACTGTCTATCTTTGCTGATTAGTCTTGTTCTAAAAATCTGGATACCTCTGCACAAAACTCAGGGTTTTAAATGTCTAAGGAGAGACGCACTTACACGGCATGCAACGGGAGCCATATTCTAAAGAAATTCGGTCCTTTTCCCTCATAAAAGACTAAGGAAATGTGCTCTGTCAGTACAAGATGACAAGTGACTAGGGATGTGTTTGTACATTTCCTCATGTGATATTCATGATCACCAGCAAACAGACAACGTGATCTGACAGCTAGAAATCGCCCCCAAACATAAAGCAGAAAACCATTCGCTTTTATCTTTAGTTTTGTGTCCATTTAAAATTTTTTAACTCTTTGAAATCCACCCAGAATTTATGTTGGTATGTAGCACGTACCTTACTAAAATGAGGGTTTTTAAAGAATTGTTATTAGCATATATTAGTTGTACAGGAGAGTTTCGTTGTGACATTTACACAGGTACCTTGGTTAGATCACCCCGCCCTCATCGTCCCTCATCCCCTCTCCCCCACGTCTTAAGACCATCTCACTGGGTTCCTTGTTCTATTTTCATGAGTTCACACAGAACTTTGCCCACAGTCATCCTCCTTTGCCCTCTCCACTCATGCTTCCCCTCCCACTGGTACCCACTCCCGTCCAGGACCTGTTTGACCTTGCTGTCCCTTCTTTTTGTTCAGTGTATATTCATTTTTCAAAGGGGTTTTGCTGGGTATTTCACAAGTGAATATATTAACCCCTTCTATTACTTTCTTTCCTAATCCCCACAGCCTATTAACAGCGAGGACCACCATTGTCCCCTTGCTCCCCACCCTTAGGTTTTCCTAGCTGTGTATTCTTGTATTCAGGGTTCTCAGACCAATTCCCATAGCCCACTGCAGCTTCAAACCATTGTGAAGTGCTACCCAAATGAGAATACAAAGATGAGTGTGGTATGAGCTTAAAATACACGACCATCTGCACAACACAAGTGATCTGCCAGAAACAAGAGCCTTCAGACAATACCCAGAGGCAGTCCTGGGGACCGAGCAAGCCTAGGTCTCCCCACCAGAAGCCCTGGATCATTAATGAAAAGGTACAGAGGTCCTATTAAGGAATAGCGTATCCCACTAAATGAGTGTTGGTGTGTGGGGGAAGGGAGGAGATGAGCTGACAGGATCCACGAGCTGGAACCACAGGTGGATGTCAGTGTTACGGGACGTGGAGTCAAATTGGCCTGGAGACTCATTCTGCTCCTTGACTGCAAAGCACTGACCCCAGATTATAGCACAGAAGCTTTGAGAGTTCCCAAACCCGTTTTCAGCCTGCGCAGGAGTGAGCCTGACCTTGAGACTGCTAGCCCATGGTGGTGCCTCAGGTTTATAGTCTTAAGACTTAAACTGTGTTAAAAGCCTTTCTTTATTGAGAAAAAGTAACAACTTTATGGAACTCAGAATTCCCAGGTAAAAACATAAGGAGATACCTATTAAAGTCTTCTGTACTGTTTGTCAGTAATATTATACTACTCAGCACTGGAACTCTTAACACACGTTCTGATTTCCAGAGCAACACTGAAGTAGGTACTACAATTATTCTAAGTGTTATGGCCCATGAATGCATGGAACTGGTCCTTTTCACTACTATTGTAAATGTAGAAGAGGGCCTAGCATAGGGGGAGTAAACACAGAATAATACTCATTGAATAGGTGGATGGAATTTTCAGATGCAATCACAGCCTTCAAGAACTTCAGCAAGGTACCCCGGGCTGACTAGCATGTGACACAGCAACGGAGAGCCTAGATCTAAACACCACGTCAGGGCTCGTAACTCACCTACTGTATAGAGAGATCAGTTTCTTAAAACATCTGCTATTTCACATTTATTATTCTATGCAGTTTATGTGTTTTGGTTGCCCTTGAAAATGGAATTATTTCCAGGAAGTTTTAACAGGTGATTGCTTTGTATGAACAAGTTGTTTTTATACATTTGTCTTATATCCAGTCACTCTCTGAAACTCTACTACTTTCTTTGATTTCAGATCTTACCACGTCAGCCGAGGCCTCTGAACATTATATAGCAGTGGCAGACAAAACATGGTCTTATTTTTATTTGTTTTTTTGTTTTTAGTTAATTTTATCAATACTAGCATCAATGTTTACAATTACAGTATTGGTTTTTTATTTGATGCTGATAATCTTTATCACTGAAGAAATAGTCATCGATGCTTAGCTTTCATTAGGAATAGACACTGATTTTTATTAAAGATATTTTTCTAACAATTATTAGAGGAGAAGAATTTTTCTTCTTTGGGTTATCTACATAATGTAGTACATTAATAAAATATATTATTAAATCATCTTTAAAACAATGCCTCTACTTTCCCCACACTTCTCTTCCAAGGCCTTTGAATTCTATTAACCTGGGATTTATAATCAGACCACTGCATTAGTATACACAATGGAGAGAAACTGTTCATGTGCTTGCTGGGTCTTGGTATCGAGGCTATTGGTCTTCTGCTCAAGAAAAATTTATATAATATGTGAATTACCTTTTTTTAAAGAAGGATGACCAATATATTACAACTGGACTATAGCTTAGCCACTAAAATGATGGTGATAAAAATTTAAACAACAAGGAAATGCTTATACTATGATAAAAAATGTAAATTATCAGGATATAAGTTTGATTATATTTTCTCAATTATGTAAAAAATTAAGAACAAAAGAATGAAATGTTTTAAGTCTATAATAACTTTCTCTTATTAGTGTTACCAAAAGATTACCAAAAGATTTTTTCTATAACTTCTAAACATTATAAAATAAATACATATTTTACAATTTACAAAGTTTTATTTTATTTTATTTTTGTGGAATGATATGAAACATTTATTTGACATACTGGACATGAGCACACCTAATTAATCCAACTCCACTGCAATATAACAAAAAAAATTATCCCTTCAACACAGTGTAAGATTTAAATGTAACCCACATGAGGACACATGTCATAAGAAACACAGTTGGACTGACACTGCCCTGCCAGTTACTTCCAGACCTTCGCCAAGTCTTATTGAAATACTGGTGGCCCAACAGTTTTACTGAAATGAATTTTTTTTTTAATAAAAAGCATTAAAAAAGACAAAAGTACCTTACTAACCATATATCCAACTCAAAACTTAACTTACTTAAATGACTGTCGTTTGCTTCTCACTAATAAACTATTTCACTAGAACAAAATCTTCCATGCTTATCCTCCTTGCCCAATAATTCTAAGAAATATCCAAAATGATCAGTGAAGAGCATGGAGGAATTAACACCCTCCCAATTTGTTTTAAATATTTTTAAGGTTTAAAAATGTACTTAAAGTTTATAATTCTAAATAGGAAAACATTTAATTTATAGAGATTTTAAAGGAATGGTATGAAACTTTTATGTATCTTACAAATCAAAATACAACATTTATAAAATATATTTTTTTTAAATTGTTACTTTTAAAATATATACACAGGATGTAGAGAATGAGAAAACTGCCTGCGAGGAGCCCAGATGATAATGGGAACAGAAGAAGACAGAGAACACCTGGTTAGGAAGGAAAAGAAGTTAGTGAGCAGAAGTGACACTGATGAGTGCTATTTTTATCTTAAAGAAGGACATTTTAATTCTTTTTTAAATGAACTATTTTAAACAAAATCTAAAAAGGGAGAGATTTCTTATTTGACTCTTATGCCTCTCTCCTCCCAAAATTAATCTATCAAAAGTATGATATTAAGAATAGGAACCATAGAATATGGCCTTTAAATGTCATGCACGCTAACTTTCATCTTGTAAATGAGGAAACCAGGGCAATAAAGGAAATGAACATGTACTTCCAAGCTCATTAATACCATTGCTAAAATGACATTATCAACATTCCCTGACCATATGTCCCCAAATGGACCAGCATGACCACACAAAAGACGAGCTCACCACGTTCACTTACCATGCCACTGTACGAATGGCGTAGCAAGATGGCATGTCCGTAGAGGAGTGTCCGATGGCCGCCACCTTGAGCAGTCTGCATGGAGAACAGAAATAAGTAAAGAGAAAAGTCAAATGAGCAAACTCACTAAATCAATAAAATACTCTTTTGCCTATGATGGAAAGTTTAGAAGGAAAGAATACAGTAAAAACCATTGCAAAAGCAAAGTGCTGTGGAAATAATTCTTAACTAGAACCCAGGAAGCCTCTACTGAGATGTTCACATTTGATCTAGTTCTTGAAGGATGAATGTGAGTTTCGTGCATAATTATCACGACTTAGAAGTATTCAACATTCCCCGGGTTATTTTCTACATTTCTCATTACAGTATGGTCTCCATGGAGCAGGAACCATGTACCTTGGTCACCCTTGTATCCAGGTGCCTACATTCCCGACACAGAATAAGCAAATAAATGTTGGTTCAATGAATGAGTCTTTCTAAAATTCAAACATAATCATATCACCTCCAGGCTTTCAAACTGTTCATTCCTTCCAACCACCTATAGAAAAAAGTCCAACCCTTCCTATGAAGTCAAAGAGTGAGTCTTAAACCTTAGCGTGCCTGGGGAACTTGCTAAAATGCAGGTTCCTGGGCCTCACCACTGAGATTCTGACTCAGAAGGTCTGAGACATTTCCCAATTGTGCTGATGCCACTGGTCCAGGCCCACTCTTAGAGATGTATAAGCACAGAGGAGTTAGTCTCAATACTTTCTGAGTCAGCCCAATCACCCATATTCCAAACATATGAGCACTTTCCCTTCCCTGGAGATGCCAAGCTGCTCTGTCTTGGAGCCCAGTGTTCCTCTCCCTGTAGACTTATACCGCATAAACTACACTTCACAACTCAGCTTAAATTCAGCTCTTCTCTGAAGCCTCATCCAGGTTCTCCCTCTGTCCTCTGGAACAGTAGGAAACACTTGCACACTGGCCTCACCACTCTGCACTGCAAGAACCTTTCTGTCCTTGACCAGACTGTGAACTCAAGGACAATGGCCTTATCTCTTCTCCAACTCTGAGCAAAATATAAGACCATAGCAAGCACTGAACAAACATCTGTTGAATGAAAACCTGCATCGGAGGGGGCCCATTTGAGGCTGAGTGAGAAGAGCATGTTCAGGCATCATGGCCCCTGGACATTGGGTGCTGCTTAAGAGGAAGGGATTTCAAAGCGCAGGACTCTACATTAAAGAGCTGGCATTCCTTTATTTGGGAAAACAAATCTTTAGTCGGGGAAAAAATCCCACCACTTCCAAAAGTCTAAGCACTGGATACCCAGCATCATTTAATCAAATGTGACTTCAACATCAATTAAAATGGTTTTCCCAGTTTTTTGTGTGGGTATGGTCTCATTAACCATGAAGTGACTGACAAGGTTAATATTACATACTAGTGTAAAACAAACTCATGAAATACGTGGATTTTAAAAAGTCTAAGCCTTCAAACAAACCTGAATAACACTATTGAACATATTCTAAAAAATCCTCACTTAGCATTTTCCACAAAGCATTTAATACCAGTTTAGTATTATTAGGAATTTCTAGAGTTCTAGATTTCCAGGATCTTCTCAAAAATGTCCAGTTGGAGAACGCACATTGAAAGCAAGAGATTCAGCGTCTGTGTTTACACTCACATTTATATGCATTCCATATTTACATTTATCTAGAATAACACTCTGTTGTGGCACATCAGTTAGCCATTATTCTTCTTTGTGGGGAGGGTGACAAACTGGATTTTGCAGCTACATTTGAGGTATTAGTGTCACAAGCTTAAAATGTGCCAAGGCAGAAAACCATGAAACATAAAATCAGAATAGAAATGACAGAGAGCAACTAAAGAGATTTATGCACATGAAAATTACTATGTTTTTTTCTTTATTATTTAGGGATTTTTGAGTCTGTTTTTTAAACATAAGCTTACAATATCTATTGACTTTTTAACCTAGGTTTTGTGTTATTGCTGATTAAAGCCATGTACTATCTCACATCGAAACATCTTACAGTTTTCTGATTTTATAATCAGCTATATCTATACAAAAATGCTATATCAGTCAATGTCAAACACTTCTCAACAACTCCAGGCCCTTATGATGTGAGAGAGTTTTTGTAAAAATATAAATCAAACTCCACAGAACTTCTCCCTGTCCCTTGACTGCTGTCTCACTTGCCATTTTAGAAGTTAAAATGGAATTTTTAGAGTTTATTACTTCAAGCAGTACTGAACCCTACCCTCAGTACTAAGGATCGCAGAAAACAAGGAGAGATTTTGTAGCAAAAAGGACATCCTTTAAAGTATTCCGATATTTAAGTGTGTTGGGGGGAACGGGGCGGGGGACAATATTTGGAAAACAGAAAACTTAGTTTCATGGAGAAAAACCGAGTAAAACTCTTCCCATTATCTGGGAAAGACTAAAGTCGGGTGTGAGCAGCACATGATACACGCAGGCAGCACGGGGGTTGGTGGGGGGGGTCCCTGGCTGTAGGAAATTCTCTGACAGCCCTGCACCCTTAAATAGTGAAATCCACAGCAAGTCACAGAATGATTGTGACAATGAATGAGAAACCTGGCTTCAGTGCAAAATTAATTTGCCTGACAAAGCCAGTCAACCATCATGCAGGTGGCCACTTGACACCGAATGGCTCTCTTGCCATGGTGGCTAAACCACAAGGCTCCTGAGGAACCGGTCAGGCTTCTGACAGTGCCAACTCATGACGGCATGGCACCAGTGAGCAGAACCAGGTTCCGAGCAGGAGAAAGCAGGCACCTGGATTTAAGTGGCTCAGCAATGCCTTTCCAAGTGTGAGCCCAAGGTAAATCATGATCGAGGTGACAGTGAAGTACTATTCAGCGTCCTTTCCCTGTTAAGTGACTCAAATTATTCTAATTGCACGCACATGCCCTCCTCTTACTCCGAGCCCAGCCTTCCCAGATTGGCTGACGCAGGTAAGAAAATAAGCTATTGGCCTCTGGCCTGCCAGTTAGCAGAAATCAGAGCCTATTTAAAATAGTTTAGGCCTAACACCTGGTTTAAACAGCGTTACATCATCTATTTGTACCAGTTTTGATATGAATGGACTCTTGCAAAAGAGCTAAAGTAACTGGGGTGATGGTTGCATTCACTTGTCCCAAGAGGAAGTCAATATGGCACGATTTAGGAGACTGGGTTAAGGATGCAATGACAAAATGAATAGAGTAAATGCAGATTTAGAAAGAAAAACTGAATTTTTCAAACCCAGTTTCATCATTTATTAATATGTGCAAGGAGAGGACACATCTTCATGCTTATTGCTGCTTACACGATCTGCCCAATCCAAACCCTTCCACCATGATGAATCTAATTTAGCATAGGATGCAGTGCTAATATTTCCTACTGGAAAATAAGAGCTGAGGTGATAGGGAATTTTGGAAGGCACTCTGTGTCTCTGTTGATAGGCAGCTTTGAAGATCCGATCCAAATTACCAAATTTCTCAGTGTTAGTGAGTAGGTCCAATTTGGGGAACCCCACCATGCACCTGGTCCTGAGATCTGTGAAATGTGAATGACAGACTTGACTAAGGAATTCGTGGGCTGACAAGAGGGCTCTCCTTCCCTTTCGTCAAGGCAAACTTTTCAGCCCATATCCAGAATTTTCCTTAATAGTGCTCAAAGTTTCTATCTTTTGAATGACTTTTTTGAGATCATACATTATAGGAAGCCTTATTAGCTGAATACCAATAAATGTCTTTATCTATTATTTCTCAGCTATAATTTTAGGATAAAAAATTAAGTTTCATGAATGATACAGGACAAATGTGGTTGGTACCTAACAATGAAACAAACATTTTCAGCTATGCGTCATAAAGTAGCTAGCTATACTGTGTTCTGGCTTCCTTGGCATCTTCCTTCAATGGCACACCTCTGTGCTTTGCTCTTCTCCTGTGTCTGCTTTTAAATTTTTCTACTTTAATTTTCCTAATTTAATTGAGAAATAAAAGGGGCCAAGTTATTTTCCTTCTCCGAGAATATGTAAGGATAATTTACTCGTGCCTCTTCTAATTTCCCCGCGTAAGTTCCAATTATATCCATGCAAGAGCACGAAGTCACAAAACAGCAACTATCATCTCTGGACTGAGCGATTTCAGTGAATATTCAGAATATATATTATTTTAATGAGAGAAACTCCTAATGATAACTAACTAAACATGCTCAAGTACAGCCCCAAAATGCCAAGTGTCTCTTAAGTTGTAATATCTAAACAGGTGATTGATTTATTCCCATTTTAAACCTCAAAAGTTGGATTTTTAAAAAATTTTTAAATGTGAAAAGTGCCATGAATCCGAAAATGAAGCAATCCCCGCTGAAATATATGAGGTATTATATATACTGCAAATGATCCAAAGTCTTACCTTCATCATGAATTTCTGTAAGGACAAAAGGAAAAGAGAGACAACATTAAAAATGCGTCATTTCAAAGACTTATTTTAAAACATCTCTTATTTATAAAGACTCCATTGTTCTAAATGGAGTTATGTAAACAAATATTTTTAAAAATTCACCTTGTTGTCGCAACAAAACTTAGTGTTAACTACATGCTAGAGAAGCTGTAGCAAGCAAAACTTTTCAACGTGTTTCAACATTAGTTCTGTTTTCCGTGAGAACATACCACTCTACTGTAATGCGTGGTTCAACTCATAACTTATCTAAGCCCAAGGAGGCAGAATCTTAAGTTTATCCTTTGAAAATGCTCAGTAAAAAAAGAAAAACCTGTTATCTCATCTATTGCATCGAAATGCAGCCATACAAACAGCAATTCCTCTAATCTTACGAAGCTCAGGTGGGTTTCAAACAGTGAGCTGTGCAGCTTTCATGCAAAGTTGCAGGAAGCAGTTCCTTAGATACAGCAGAGGGTGAAAGGTGAATTTCAAAGAAAAATCACAGAAGTGTTTCTCTTTGTCTCTCAAAATGACACAGTCTCCTCTCAGGAACTAAACAGCTCTTTTTTCTTCTATAGGACATCATGTGTATCCATCTTTCTTTCCTCAGGAGATCTCCTGAAGTTCCCTGTCCTCATTCCCAGGAGACATACACAGACGACAAAGAACTAAGAAGGAAAGACAATGTCGTATTTCCAAACTTAGGGCTGGATTTAGTTGTGAGGAACATGTCTAAGTCCTAGAGTGAAAAGATATACACGTCCACATTAGTGTTAATGAAATCAGCAAGGGGAAATTTCCTAATGGAGATATTTATAAATATGACAGTTGTAATCCACATATTACCAAATGGAAATTCCACTGAAACTGGTAATTTTCATTTTTAATATTATAACTTTAAGAGAAAATTGTAAGGAACTTTTTCATTCTTGGCTTGGAAAACAGAGGCTGTTCAGTTACAGTTTTGCAGCTGATATTAATGTGAATGATCTCAGCAAACTTATTTTCCAAGTCAAACTGACCAATCATATCCATACATGTGACTCACCAGTGATGGAAATATCACTCAGTGGGGAATTAAGAAAAATCATTTTATGCCTTAAATTAAGAAAACGAAAAACTCAACATTTTGCTATAGCACATGGCTTACGTTCTTCGTGAGATTTTAAAGTGAGTTAGGTTTGGGGAATTATTTTTTTAAAAAATTCTCAGTCTGATTTTGTCAGTTACCTAACTACTTTAAAATTATAATAGATGTTAAAGAGAAAACAGTGGTCAGTGGAGTTACAGAGGTCTGCTCTTCAGAATTTGTGAGTTGCATATGGCAGCGGGAAGATAAGACCCGAGGAGGAATTTGCATAAACAATAAAAGAGAATGAATTCTGCAAATTAGCAAAGGCCAAAATATCCATCTGTAGAAAGAGAAAGAGCAGCAGATGTAACAGATATAACTTTCCAAAGATAACCAGGACCATGAATGATAACTTGTAGCGCTAACATTAACTTCTTTTCAAATCTCTTACTGGACAATTTGGCTTAGGTTCCAGATATCATCAAAGTTATAACATTACGAGATTCTCCAAAGGAATCATTCAAGGGCAAAAAAGAAAGCAAAACAAGAAGGAGGAATATATTATTGTAATGCTGAGGTATATATACACAGGCAAGGTCTTGTGAACAACAATGAACAGAAAAGGAATGACAAGAAAAAAAAAATCTTTAAAAGTAGATGACATAATGAGAAGGAAAAGTCTTGCAGAAAGATAAATATTGAGGAAAGTAGTGTCTTTAGGTACTTAGAATATCATTTTCATGCTTATAAGAAATTTATAAAGAAATTAGTTTGACTTACTTCAGACTCATGAAAATTTCACTAGGCCAAGTAGAATGAAGGATAATAAGGGAAGCTCTAGTGTAGCATGTGTCCTGACCTCATTTCTGTACTAGAAGAACTTTTGGATGGTAATCAATTTGCACAGAGACACAAAGGGGAGAGCTTTACTTCTTTAGGGTTAAACCACAAGTGGCAGTAATTTAGTGTTCAGGTTAGTTTAATTGCTCCAGGACTGACAGGTCAGACAATGCTCCAGGTCTGAGCAAGAACTGGGACACAACCATTTACACCTCCATCCACATGAAAACCAAGGAGAGCAATCGTGTGACAGTTTAACACAAATACAGATGACTCTGCTGCGCTGTGTCATCCTCAGTCTATAAGCTTAAGTCACTGGATGCAGCAGATCTGAGAGACTGAAGGGATTCTCTTTGCAGATGCAAATGATTACAAGTGGAAGCCCAAGTTCAACGGTAATACTTTACTCTGGACATTGTTAACAAACAATGTTAATCTTACCCAACCTCTTATCTGTGCATGAAAAGAAATAGCAATTCAGGTGAATATCCCTCTGCCATAAGGATGGCTTTCAGGTCAACCATGATTTTTTCACTGATATTTCAGATTAGGGAAATGAAACCGATTTTAAAAGTTAATACTTCCATATAAGGTCCTCCCTCAGAACATTTATACAAACTGTTACTGAAATAGCCCCTCAAAAAGCATCCAGATGCGGAATTACCAACACAGTAACAAACACTTATGGAAGTTTGTCGTTAAAAAGAATTGAAAGTAGTACTCTGAGAGAATAGGGCAAACTTTAGACTCAAGATCCTTCTAGAATGAATGTTCCATTAGGGAGGAAGAATGTTCCACTCTGGATGTAAGAGTTCCGTCAAGTGGAAGCCTTATTTTTTTTTTTCATCTATCCTCTCCATGTACCAAGGGGCCAGGATTCCTCATGATTGTCCAAGTATAGCCTCTCCTAGGTATGTGTGTGAGCACAAACCTAGTAACTTCATGTGTTATCAAACAAAAATCATATTTCACCACCAAAGACTTGAGTATGTTGGAGGCTATATTTAATTAATAATACAATAATTTGTAGGAGACATAAATAATCTAACATGAGCAACTCCTAGTCCTAAACATATATCAATGCATAGTATCTGAGAGCATGTAAGGATATATATCACATCAACTACTGTTCATATGGTGAAAAAATAAACCCGTGTACACACCAAATTTTCTATGGTTCCCCCACTGAATATATTCAAGTCTATACTGATGAGACAGACATGTTGATTGTGGTTCCAGAAAGGATCAGAACAGGATTCAGCCTTCAACCCATAAGGAGCAATTATAGATATGTCACCTCCCACAGAAACAGTCTCATGTCACTCATATTTGCTGCTCCCATGGAAAGACTCATTGTCACTCACTGGGATCTGGTTAAGCAGGCATGCAGATACATTTAAAAAGAACACACTATATTTTGGACAGATTGTAGCAACTGTTGTCTTTTTCAGTCCATCAATAACGGTGCAAACAGTATTGAAGTGGGCTGCCTTTCCTTTTGAGTATAATGGAGTTGACATCTATATGTATATATAATTATCTAGTTCTGCTTTAGAAGGATGGAAGAAAATAAATGATTCTGATAAACTGCTATATGTCCTGGAGTTTCATCTCTGTGACACATGTTTATATATTACAGAGCTCACAGATACCTGAAATATGAAGCTGACAAACTAGTCAGGGCTTTCTTCTTTGTTTAGCTTGCCTCAAGAGAGAATTCTTCTAGGCAAAAGGCAATAAGTTGACCTCCTCATCAGAGGTCATCTAGATAATAATGACCTGAAGACATATGAAACCTGATGATATGCAGAGCAGCACCTACATATAAAACTCATCTACATGAGCATGTAGAATATTCTGTATATTTTTTCAAACCATTTCAAAAGCAATTATTGAGTTAGGAACACTTTTAAATGATTTCATATCTTAACAATTACAATAGCATCCATATAATTTTAAGAAGAGTTAAGAGAAAGACATCATTTGGTCTACATTGTTTCACCGTCTGTTTCATTCTTCTATTGTCCCCACCTGTGACTTGAAATCTGAGGCATCCAGGCTGGAAACGAATGGTATAAGGTTAGGGAAGGGTGGAAGAGAGAGCAGATGGAAATAACACTTAGTTACTTTTCAAGCCAAGACTCAAAACAATTCTTCTGTTTTAAAGTGTGAAGAATAGTATTGGTTACCTAAGTAGGCTTATTATGGTTAAACAATTGAAAGATGCCCCAAAGAGACATTGATGAGGGGAAAGAAGGGGGTTGAGGGAGGAAAGAAATGAGGGAGGGAGAGAAGGAATGAGAGAGAAGAGGGAGAGAGAGGAGAGGAGGGAGGGAGGAAAAGAGGAAGAGAAAGAGAAGTGGAAGAGAGACAGAAGGGGGAAGAGAGAGAAAGGGGGTGAGAGAGACTGAATTTTGATGAAGCTACCTAGAATTATGCTTCAAAAAACATACTCAGAAGCTATTTTAATTTATATATTAATATATAGCTACATACACACATATGTATATGAGGTAATTAAAGGTCTTCACCTGAGGTTGTTCAATGCACTCTAGACAAGCAAGAAGAACAGACATGAAAATGGGACACCTGTCTCAGAACAAAACAATGGCAAGTTCCATCACATTCCCAGACAGACAGTTACACCACCTAACAGTACACCTAGAGTACAGCCAAAGGGGAGGCTATGGGTGCACCTGCTGCCCTTAGTTGATCACCCCCTTCCAGGCAGTCAGTAGGATAGAGAGCAAAATGACGAGTTCTTAAAGGGAGATGTTGACGGGCATGGAATCCTGCGTCCCTCCAAGCCTGCGCTCACTGTAAGCCTACAGAAGCTGGGACCTGGAGGGCTAGTGCCTGGCTGTGCTTGGAGACCAAGGGGCCAGTGGGTGCCTGCAACCTCTACAAGGCTGCAGCTGGGAAGGGAATGTACTACCAGCAGGCAAAAGCAGTATCCCTTATCACAGCCAGCCTGGGATTATCTAGAAAGACAGACACCAAAAGAACTCAGGAGAAGGAGGAAACCACCCAGCCAGCTACAGGCGATGCATGAAGCTGCAGTATGAGAACCACAGGT